TGGCATACTGGCTAGTTGGGTGGGGCTCAGTATGGTGATTCAAGCTGCCAACATATTTCATGCATCTGTATCCTTGATGCCAGGCATAGAAAGATGAGTAATGCTTGGTTTCTGCCCACAAGTTTCTCCTAGTCCACTAGGAATGATGAACATTCCTACTTAAATATGAAAGCTTCTCTGCTAGTAGTGCACTCTCTCTGCAAAGTCCTGCAAAAGCTTCACAGAGAGGATGTTATTTGAGCCTGACTTTGTATGATAAAGTAGAACTTTGCCAGACATGGAAGGAAAATAATTCCAGGCAGAGAAAGAATGAGCAAAACACAGAATCTCGAAATACTTGGCATATTGGGGAATGTTCTGTACAGAGATGATAGTTGATGCTGCTGGAAAGGCTCTTTGAGACAAGGCTGTGAAGGGCTGTGAATTCCATGCCAAGGAGTTTTTAAGTCATGTTGTAGAAAATGGGGAGCCATCTGAGGTTTTCAGTCATTACAATAATATCTTTTCTCAGTTTTTGGACACTAATACCAAAAGCATCAGAGGATGAATTTACAGGAGTGGAAGAGCGAGTGTAGCAGCCAGCCAAATATTGATCCCCATATTCTTCACCATCTGTTTCTTGTAATTCTCTAGGAACAGTCTTTAGCTACCAAATCAGCCCATAAAAACAGATGAAAAACTCAGGGCTCTGCAATTAAATGGATAATTGGATTTCTTTCTCTGTTTTCTCAAAAATAGTATGAGTCTCTTTGGAAATAGGGGAATAAATAAGGTGATACCTGTTGAATTCAGCAAATATGGAGACCAACTAAGTGGAAATTCTGTGCCAGAAATTGTACAGGATATATATTGACTCATTCATTCAACTAACATTTATTGAGGACCTACTATGTTTTAAATAATCTGCTTGTTCCTAAGGTACAAGGGGGAACCAAGGACACACAGCCTCATGCATCTTGGAGTTTACAGAGTAATAATGGATTCAAATATTAACTAAATCATCCATACCAATAAGTGTATATTTGTAAATTTTTGTAAATGCTATCGAAATTGGGGAATCTAAGAGTTGAAAATAGAAGTAAAACTATCCCCATTATTAGATACAAGTTTTCTATCAGGGTGATCTGCAAATATTTTCTCCCAGTCTGTGGCTTTGCTTTTTGTTCTTTAACAGTATCTTCCATAGAGCAGAAGTTTTTAATTTTAATGAAGTCCAAGTTACTGATTTTTTTCTTTCATGGATGGTGCTTTTGGTGTTATATCTAAAAACTCATTTCCAAACCCAAGGTTATCAAGATTTTCTCCAATGTTATCTTCTAGGAGTTTTACAGTTTCGGATTTTACAATTAGGTCTGTGATCCATTTTGAGTTAATTTATGTGAAAGGGGCCAGGTTAGTGTCTAGATTTTTTTTTTATTTTTGCATATGGACATCCAGCTTTTCCAGCTCCATAGGTTGAGAAATCCCCAGAGAACTTTACAGTCTAGTTAAGGGAATAGGGTTCATATACAAATGATGGGCTGAAATGCCATAACTAAAAAATTTGTCCTGAAGGACGTATAGAATTATGCTGAGAAGTTTTAAGAGGTGACATTTGAGGTGAGCTGTGAACATAAAGTTTCATCATACAGCTGAAGAGGAAATAATATAAACAAAGGGTAAATCTTACTGACTGCAATGTTGAGAAGAATGTAGAAAGCAAAGGTGGCAGCAGGGAACCTTCCTGGGTGGGAGGAGATAGTGATAGTGGGATGCAGTATGGCAGAGGTGATGATGGTAGGATATTGTTGGTCCTAGATGGACTTTGACATTAAGCTGATGGAATTTGTATGTAGATTGCATGAAAGATATGAGAGAAAGAGAAGAGCTAAGGATCTCTAAGCTTTTTTTTTTTTTTAATTTTTTTCAACGTTTATTTATTTTTGGGACAGAGAGAGACAGAGCATGAACGGGGGAGGGGCAGAGAGAGAGGGAGACACAGAATCGGAAACAGGCTCCAGGCTCTGAGCCATCAGCCCAGAGCCTGACGCGGGGCTCGAACTCACGGACCGCGAGATCGTGACCTGGCTGAAGTCGGACGCTTAACCGACTGCGTCACCCAGGCGCCCCTCTCTAAGCTTTTTAACATAAACAATCAGGAGAGTGGAGTCGCCATTTACTGAGATAAGAATTATGGGACAGGTGCAGGTTTGGGGCTGCATATTCAGGAGGGGTTGGGATGTGTTAAGTCTGCCTGTTAGACTTCTGAGTGAAGTGTTGAGTAAGCAGTTGGATGCTTAAGTCTGGAGATCAGCAGAGTTGTCAATGCGTAAGTGGTATTTAAAGCTCTGAAATCAGGAAGTGAGTAGATACAGAAGAAAATAACCACAAGGATTGAAGCTCCAGAGATCCCAAACGTGACAGTTAGAAAGATGAGGAGGAACCAGAAAAAGATACTCAGGTGGAGATGCCAGTGAGACAAGGAAGAGAATCAAGAGAAGTGTACAGGACACTAAAACAAGTATATTTAAGAAGGAGTTTGTTGATGCTGCCAGTACGTTAAGTAAAATGAGGACTTAGACTTGACCATTGGATTTAGCAGTGTAAGGCCATTAATGTTCTTAACGAGCTATTTCCATGGAGTAAGAAATGGCAGCCTGACTGAAATGGGTTTTCTTAAAGGATGGAAAGAAATTAAGTAGAGATAATTCTTTTGAGGATTTTTCTTGCTATAAAGCGAGGAAATAAAAGAGTAGGTGAAAGAAATTGGAACTCAAGAAAGGGTGTTGTGTTTGTTTCTTTTCAGACAAGTACTATAATACCTGAGAGGGAAAAATGAGTGATGTTGGGAATGAGAGAGGAACCAGTGGAAGTGGTGTCCTTGAATAAATGAGAGAAGACAGAATCCAGTGAACCAAAAGAGGGGCTGGCCAAAGATAGAGGTGGGGACAGTTTATCAATGGTGACTTAATTCTAAAACATCCAGTGTTGGCAGTGATGTGAAGAAAAAGGAACATTCATGCACTGTTGGTGGGAATGCAAATTGGTGCAGCCATGGTGGAAGACAATATGGAAGTTCCCCCCAAAATTAAAAGTAGAACTACCATATTATCCAGGAATTACACTACTTGGTATTTACTCAAAGAAAACAAAAATACTAATTCAAAGGGATACACGCATTCCTATGTTTATTGCAGCATTATCTACAATAGCCAAACTGTGGAAACAGCCCAAGTGTCCATTGATAGATGAATGGATAAAGAAGATGTGGTGTGTGTGTGTGTGTGTGTGTGTGATGGACTATTATTCAGCCAAAAAAAGAATGAAATTTTGCCAACAAAACAACATGGATGGAACTAGAGTATAATGCTAAGTGACATAAGCTAGTCAGAGAAAGACAAATACCATGATTTCATTCATATGTGGGATTTAAGAAACAAAACAAACAAAGGAAAAAAAGAGACCAACCAAAAAACAGACTCTTAACTATAGAGAACAAACTGATGGTTGCCAGAAGGCAGGTAGGTGGGAGCATGGATGAAATAGGTGAAATGGATTAAGAGTAACACTTATCTTGATGAACACTGAGTAGTATATGGAATTGTTGAATCACCATATTGTATGCCTGACATGAATATAACACTATGTTAACTACACTGGAATTAAAAAATTTAAAAAATAGTGACCTAATTCGCTAAGCAATGAGAAACCATTAAAGTCTACTGCGTAAGTGGTATGGCTCTTGTTATTCCTCATAGTCTATTCCTTTTACGAATGGACAAATTCAAATGCTTAAAAGTACAGTTGACCCTTGAACAACATGGGTTTGAGCTGCACTGGTTCACTTGTATGCAGATTTTTTTCAATAAATACAATATAACACTGTAAGTGTATTTTCTCTTATTATTTTCTTTTTTTTTAATTTTATTTATTTTGAGGGTGAGACAGAGTGTGAGCAGGGGAGGGGCAGAGGGAGAGAGGGAGAGAGAATTCTGCACAGAGCCCAACGTGAGGCTTGATCTCACAAACTATGAGATCATGACTTCTGAGCTGAAATCAAGAATCAGACACTTAACCACTGAACCACCCAGGCACCCCTATTCTTCATGATTTTCTTAATAGTATTTTCTTTTCCTAGCTTACTTTATTGTAAGAATACAGAATAAAATATGTATAACATAGAAAATATGTGCTAATCAACTTTATGTTATCGGTAAGGCTTCTGGTCAACACTATAGTTAAGTTTTGAGGAGTCAAAAGTTATACCTGGATTTTTGACTTCGTGGAGGCATTGGAACCTCTAACCGCACATTGTTTCAAAAGTCTACTGTATCTCCAAAAATAAACCTTGAAAATACAGTTTTGTTCAAAACACCAAGTAGATGAGAATTTCATGGCCAGAAAAGTTGAAACAAACCATGGTGTCTATCTCAGCAGCTTCCACAGCCTTCGTGTCAAATCAAGAACCTTTGGCTGTTCTCTGAAGTTGCTGAAATGTTTCCTTTGAAAATAAATTCCTAGTGCCTGAAACCAATTTTCTACGTACGTCTAACCATTTGAAAATTCGCAATGGGGTTTATTTTGTATTTCTCTTAAAAATTGATGAATAATAATTTTTAATGTTGCCATTCCTTGGCCACCAATGGTCTGACACTACCTCAGACAAAATTGGAAATCTAATGAATTCAGATCTCTCTGACTCACCAATTTGTAACAGATCAAGTCACACATAGGAATTTAGAGGAAGCTTCCAAGCAAATTATATATAGGAGAGTTCTTGATAGAATTAATGGACTTTTTTCATCATCTGTGAGGTAAGCTTGACATGTTGTAATTTTCCAATAGAGAGGAGAAAACAGATAAAATATATTAGGCTATTTTCTGATAAGTGGTCATCATTGAATTTAGGAAATCAGCTTCGTAGTTTTTTTAATCTCCTATATATCTAAAACCTACTTCCGCTATGATCAGTGATATGTTCTCAAGTCAGAAAGGATTTTTCTCTTTGTACTGCTCCACAGACATGAACGTATTCACACCAAGAAAAGTAACTTCAGGAGATCACTAATATCCACTCTGAAGGATGTAGACGATTTAGCAACCCTAGAAGTTTTGGATGAGGTAAGAAACGTGGCTTAATTAAACTTAAACATTCTAGATTTTGTTTAACTTATAGATATGAACAGGAAGTTGTTTGAATAGCATCTGTATGCAATGTCTCTTAGCTTCCTGATTATCTCTCCCATCTTCACTTTTAATACGTATAACTCAAATTTCCAGATCTTTCCAGCCTAACGTCATTTTTTTTTCTTTTTTTTGATAGTCAGGTTACAAAGGTGTGGGTTCCCACTAGCATGAGTTGCTTATAAGTTACAGACCCTTTTTCCTCTGAATTCTTTCCAGAAAGCTCAGAGGGATGATTTACTGAGGTCAGAAAATGGTCTGCTTCCTACAACCTCTAATGTGGCATCCTCCTTCTATTTCCTCTTCTGTTCCACTCTCAGTGTCTATACCCAGAGGCTTCTAGGAAACCTCAAGAGCCTGTCTGTCTTAACTAGGGTCAGTGTCCTGCTTGTGGGGTCCCAGATCCCCTGCTCTCAGAGAGCTGGGCCTTTAGGGCAGTGAATTCTACTTGACGCTTCTTACCCAGTGCCTCACAGCTATCTCAAGCATCTCTTACGAAGGTACAAATACAAGCCAGTAAATTATAGCTTTAGCTTCCCTTCCTCTCATCTCCCTTCATTCCGGATAATCAGATCATTAGAGAAATAAGTAGCTCCCTTTCAATAACAAGTTGGGATCTCTATCCTGCCTGATCAACTTTTTTTTTTTAAATACATCTGATACATGCCAGAACATTTTCCTTTGAGATTCAACAAATCAGGAGACATCTTCTGAACAGAAGTAGTCATTTGGTAAATTTAGGGTGGCTTAAACAACTGAAGTACTTGCTCGAAATAATCTTTCTTGGGAACATCAAATATCTTGTAATCAAGTAGCGTTCGCAAGTCAGAGATTTGCCAGCACCTTTATGAATCTTTTCATACCACATTTTTCAATGATGTGAATTTCTGGATTTGTATATTATAAAGAAGACTTTACTCATCATGTTGCTGACCTATATATTAAACACTGGGTTTATTTGTTTCTGTTGTCTGTGCTTTTGTTTTTGTCTCTTTTGAGCTATGATGTTTTGCTATTCTCGTGTCATGTCTTAAATGATGATTTCTGACACTATTGAAATTGATTCCATGTACTCATGATTTATCAACTATGAAAGTTACTTCTCCACACATTTCACTGTACCTCATAAAGCCAAATGTCTCAGCAAAGGGCTAAGATATTCTACAGAGCCACTAAATAACCTTGGTTTGGAATAAAGTCATGTTCACTGTATCTTCCTTTTCCTTTTCTATTGGTTTTTCTCTCTCTCTTTTTTTTTTCATCTTCCACATTTACTTACTTCCTGGAAGGCTTTCTACATATAATATCCCTGTAATATCTCACGTGACCTTTGGAAAACGCACAGAACAATGCCATACCTCTATGGCTCTCAAAACAAGAAAATGTCTGCCAAGTGGAAGGATAGTTGCTGACCCAACGTTATACTTCTTACTATCAGCATATCTATTTCCTTCTGATCCTTGGTCCAGATTCCAGATGTTTTATTTATTACTGTTTACATTTTAAATTGTAACTACCCTTAAATTATTTTTAAGAAAAAAATATTTTTATTTTATTACAGAATACAGTCTCTGAGCAACTTGAGAAGTGTTATTCCAGAGATCAGATTTACATCTATGTGGGAGATATACTCATTGCTCTTAATCCTTTTCAGAGTCTGTGTCTTTATTCCACAGAGGTATGTGGTGTGGCTTACATTCTCTTACTTTGTACTAGTAATTATACTATTCAGATATTTAAATTAATTTAGATGATGCCAAAGAAAGTTTTATTCAATATCTTGAATAAACAGATAATTATTGCTAAAACATAGAGATAGGAAAAATAGAAGGTGAATCAGTCTGGATATGGTTTGTGGTCTTTCTTTTCCCAAAAGTATGTGGTGGAATGTTAATTACTTATAGTTATTGGTAACTGCCCTGTACTATGTATCATATTAATAAATAGATGTTTACAAAAGTGTATCTTATTGTCTACCTCTGAAGCAAGTATGGGAGAGTGAAGAGCATAATTACATTTTTTACAGGTAATATATACTTAATGGCTATGAAACTTGTCATTATGAATTTTAAAATTCCTTTTGACATATTAGTTGGTTTTTAGTATCAGACAGTGTGTGTTTTTTTGAATATGAGTATATAATTATCTATTATTCAAGCCCTAATGGTTTAAATACAGATTAGTATTCTGGAATTAAGCTAGGCTGTTTTTCTTTTTCTTTTTTCTTTTTTTTCTTATTTTTTTAAGTAATCTCTATACCACACATGGGGGTTGAACCCAGGATCCTGAGATTAAGAGTCACAGGCTCTTCTGACTGGACCAGCCAGGCACCCTTCTCATTTTTTCATTTTTTATTTTATTTCTTAAAGATTTTGTATACTTTTTTTAATGTTTATTTTTGAGAGAGAGAGAGAACATGTGGGGGAGGAACAGAGAGAGGAGGACAGAGGATCCAAAGCGGGCTCTGTGGTGACAGCAGCGAGCCCGATGTGGGGCTCGATCTCACAAACTGTGAGATCATGACTTGAGCTGAAGTCAGATACTCAACCAACTGAGCTATGGAGGCATCCCTATACTTTTTTTAAAGTTTATTTATTTATTTTGAAAGAGAGTAGAGGGTAGAGAGAAAGAGAAAATCCCAAGCAGGCTTCTCACTATCAGCACAGAGCTCAACGTAGGGCTCGATCCCTAGAGCTGTGAGATCATGACCTAAGCCGAAATCAAGAAATTACAGTATTTTGGGTTTCTGTTTGCTTGTTTTTTTGCTTTTTGGGTTTTTTTTTCCTGAAATAATAGTATTTTGAAATATTAAGTTCTTCTTTGAAAGTGGTTTGCACTCCGAAAAAAGTCTTCTTTTAAATACTGCTCCCAGTGTGATACTATATTTTATTATGTCACATCCTATTTCTGGGTTTTTTTTTTTACATCAGGCCTTTATTTTACATAATTGTGCATGATTTGTGCATGTAAATATGGGTAGTATGTGTGTGTAACATGTATGTAAAGTTTTGGTGGTGTGAGAGTGTATTTTGATTTATGTTTTGCTTAAAAATTGAGAGTTCTGTCTATAAATAATTTAAGATTTAAACAAAAACAAAAAGAAAAGCCCCACAAAATGTGTTCTTTTTAACCATTAGCATTCTAAACTATATATTGGAGCAAAGAGAACTGCCAATCCTCCTCACATTTTTGCAATGGCTGACGTAGGATACCAGTCCATGATAACATATAATTCAGATCAGGTAAGGAGAGTTTCACATTCTTAGAAATTCCCTTCTTAGGTTCTTATGTGTAAGCCTGATCTTGTGAGGATGAACTTTTCTCATGGTTTCCTTTTCTTATTGTGCAGTGCATTGTTATTTCTGGAGAAAGTGGTGCTGGAAAGACTGAAAGTGCTCATCTTTTGGTTCGGCAGCTGACAGTGCTTGGAAAGGTATAATTTTTCACTGTCCTAACAGAAATATTTGTTATACTTCAGAACCTAATATAACTGATTAGATTACTGCTTGCTAATTCCCACATTTGATAATGTACAGAAATTATAAAACACACTTGTTATCCTCTGTGAGTTTAAAATATAACAAACAGTATAAAAAGTATATGCTCTGGGGTGCCTGGGTGGCTCAGTCCATTAAGCGACTGACTTCAGTTCAGGTCATTATCTCACAGCTTGTGAGTTCGAGCCCTGTGTCAGGCTCTGTGCTGACAGCTCAGAGCCTGGAGTCTCCTTCAGATTCTGTGTCTCCCTCTCTCTCTGCCCCTACCCCACTTGTGCTCTGTCTCTGTCTCTCAAAGATGAATAAATGTTAATAAATAAATAAATAAATAAATATTAAAAAATAAAATAAAAAGCATATGCTCTGCTTTGAGGATATTCTAACTTTTCTCACTCTTATAGTAGGCAAGGCTTTATAAATGTGATATTCTCTATTTTTAGCCCCAGCACATTCACTAAACGCCTTCTTTACTTTTCTCCTTTTATTCCTTGTGGGTAAAAAAGAAGTTAATATACAAAAATCAATTTTACATATATAATATATATATCATCTATGTTATATGTAATACAAAAGTTAATTTGTATTATATATATAATGATAAATTATAATGATAGCAATGATAAATTATAAATTGAAATTTTAAAGTCTCATTTACAATAGCACCAAAAAATTAGCTATTTATATCTAAATCTTCTAAAATATGTACAAAATTTGTATGCTGATAAATGGAAAAAATGGATAAAAGAAATCAAAGAAGACCTACATAAATGGACTATACCATGTCCATGGATTAAAAGATTCATTATGCCAATTCTTCATATGCCATTATGCCAAAGTTGATCTGTAGATTCAGTGCTATTACAATAAGAATACCAGCAGGATTTTTTTCTGTAGAAATTGACAAGCTGAATTAAAAATTTATATGGAAAGACAAAAGAGCTACAATAATCAAACAAATTTGATAAAGAACAAAGTTGGAGAGCTAATACTACTTGATTTTCACTCTCTGTAGAGCTACAATAGTTATTATATTCAATGTTAAAAGCCTAATTCACCAGGGAAAAATATTAGATTTCACCAAAATTAAGAACTTCTGTTCTCTGAATGACATTGTTAAAATGAAACAACAAGCTACATACTCAAAGAAACTATTTGCAAGTCATGAATCTAATAAAACTTGTATCCTTAATATATATATTATAAAAACACTCTTAAAACCCAATAATAAGAAATAGAATAACAAAAAATTAACAAAAGGATGTATCAACTAGGGTTAACTGATAAAAGTATATTTTTAAAAATGAACAGAAGGCTTGAACAGTCACTTCACCAAAAGACAATATGTAGATGGCAGATATACAAATGAAAAGTTGTTCAACATCAGTTGTCATTGGGGAAGTGCAAATTAAAACACAATGAGACATCATTACACACCTATTAAAATGTCTAATTTTTTCTTTTATCTAATAATGCCAACTGCTGAGAAGCATGGGGAATAACTGGAACTCTCATATATTTCTGTTGAAATACAAAATAGTGCAGTCACTTTGGAAAATAGTTTGGAAGTTTTGTTTTTGGGTTTTTTTTGTTGTCGTTTAAAGTTTATTTTGAGAGAGAGAGAGAGAGAGAGAGAGAGAGAGAGAGCAAGTGGGGGATGGGCAGAGAGAGAGGGAGAGAAAGAATCCTAAGCAGGGTCCATGCTCTCAGCGTGGAGCCTAGTGCAGGGCTCAAACCCATGAACTGTGAGATCATGACCTGAGCTAAAATCAAGAGTCAGACGCTTAACCGATGAACTACCCAGGCACCCTGGGAATATTTTTATAAATTTAAACTATACTTATCATCCAGCCCAGCAATCCTACTCTTAGTTTATTTATCCAAATAAAATGAAAACTCATGTTCATACAGAAACCACAGACAAATACATATAGTGGCTTTGTTCATAATCTCCAGAATGAGGAAACAACCAAACAAGGGAATGGATAAACAAACCAGTACATCTATACAGTGGAATATTGTTCAATAACAAAAAGGAACAAACATTGATACAAGGAATGAATCTCATTAGATGAGATTTGGATGAATGTCAGATGCATTGTGTTAAGTCAAAAGAGTCAGATTCAGATGACTATATGCTATATGATTCAATTTATATGTCATTCCTGAAAATTTAAAGTTATATAAACACGGTCATCTGAGTGGCTCCATCAGTTAAGCATCTGCTGTTGATTCCAGCTCATGATCTCATGGTTGGTGGGTTCAAGCCCTGTGTTGGGCTCTGTGCTGACAGTTTGGAGTCTTCAGCCTGCTTTGGATTCTGTGTCTCCCTCTCTCTCTGCCCCTCCCCCCACTCTGAAAAAAATTTTTAAAAAAATTACAAAAATTAAAATTATAGAGAAAGAAACAAATCAGTGATTGTCACAGGCTGGGGATGGAGGGAGGGGTTGACTATAAAGGGTAGCGATATAGTTTTGGGAGGTGATGAAACTGTCCTATGTGTGGATTTGTAGTGGGGGTTATTTGATTGTACATGTTTGTAAAAACTTTCAGAACTGTGCTCTATAAAGGATAAATTTTTTTTAAAGATTTTAATGTTTATTATTTATTTTTGAGAGACACAGAGAAACAGAGCACAATTGGGAGAGGGCCAGAAAGAGAAGGAGACACAGAATCTGAAGCAGGCTCCAGGCTCTGAGCTGTCGGCACAGAGCCCAATGCAGGGCGCGAGGCTTGAACCCACAAACACGTGAGATCACAATCTGAGCCAAAGTCAGATGCGTAACCTCTTAACCAACTGAGCCACTATAAAGGATGAATTTTACTGTGTGTAAAAATATACCTTAATTTTTGAAAAAGAGAAGTTGACGATAGAAACTTGGTTTGATTTTCCAGGTAGGGTCCTTGAATAAAGTCAAGAAATATATATATATTAGGATGACTAAAATTAAGGGAAAAAAAACCATTGTGTACAACTGATCCCTGTGAAGATTTTTATTATGATCCACATAGTTATACACGATATAGTATTCTATTAAAATTTTTCTTCACTATGATTATAAGAATCTTCTAAGTACTGTGAGTGTAAGGACAGACTTAATCTCTCCATAAAAGGGTGAAGCTTCATCATGTCAAAACAACTTCTTAATTGAATCTAATTCATTTTCAGAATCATCAGTTGACAGATTTCTGTGCTTATATTAAAAATCAATTAACTGACAGATTTCTGTGCTTGTGTTAAAAAATCAATTAACTAGTTTTTATGTTTTCAATCACGTGTGTGCGTATGAAATAGAAACATGACTTTGCTAGAACTGGAACAGCCAGTAGTGACCAGGAAGCTAGTGCTACCTCAGGACTGTCATCCCGATCCCTTCCGCATCCCATTTTCCATCAACTTCCCCTCTCCTTACTTCTAGGATAAGAAGAAAAAAAAAGGTGTGATTTTTGAGGGAGAGGGGTGGTGAGGCACAGCATATGATCCTGCCATAGAAGACTTGAACACCTGACTTAATTTACTCAAGGACCGTCCACGTCCACAAGGGCCTTTGCTATTCTCTTTTGTGGTTGCATAGAGGGTCCCGTCAATGATGGATTAACTTGTGCGTGACTTTTGTTTTGTAGATGTCAGTAAACCTGTTTATCTACTCACTTTATCTTATTCAGGAGCTAAAAATGTGATTTAATATTAACTGGGAATATATATCTCTCCCAGAATCCTACCCATATTAGATCTTATCATATCTTTTACTTATCTCCTTGATAAAGATTTACCAGATACAAAACAGGATGTTTGGTGGGTTGAATTTACATTTGTAATATGCAGTCCTTATAATCTTATTTAATAAAGGCACTGCTAGTTAATACAGGTGGATAAAGATGCTTTCTCACCTTTTATATGAGTGCAAATCCAGCCCCATTTTAGAAGGCCTAAGCTTGTTCCAGTGCTCATGATTCTCTTCTCTCAACCCTTATTGCCTATTTTAGAAGCTACTAAAAGTCTTTATATGCCCCCAAACCCTCCTTGTAAATACCCACTCCAGCCCACCTACGTCCTAACATGGCCCCTGTTCCAGAAATACCAACTGCTCCTCTCCCTTACTTGTATAATTTGCATACCTTTAACACAGCTGATTTCAACCAGGTATTACACTAAACATAATCTACTCAATGTAATTTCTACCAAGATGTGAATGACTGATACCTCCTTAACCTAATTATAACAATAACACTTGTTTCAGGGAAGGAGTATACGAGATGGGGTAGGAGAAAATAGAGGGACAGCCAAGTAGGCCCACTGGTCTTGACTGGGGTTCCACCCCTTCCGTCCACACTTCTGAACTGTTCTCAGTTTTCACAGTTCCTCCCTTTTCCCTACTTCTGAATTGACAAATTACCTTTACTCCCTTATTTCCAGCCTTAACAGCTTCCATGGAAGCAAGGGAAGTGGTTCTGACCTTGGGGAGCATTTGGATGGGGCCCAGGGAAGTAGAGGAGGAATAACAAAATGAGAGGTATACCCCAGTATGCATAGACTGCTTATAAATTGTGTTTGTAAATCGAGCACTGACCAGAACTATATTTCAGTAGAAAAAGTACAGAACATCTCTTTGCCCCTTGGAGAAAGCAAGTGGGTGAATGCACTTAGGGGAAAGGAAAAATAGTCTAGATATTCTAACATCTGGCAGTATGCCAAGAATATGCTCTCAGTACATTTATGTCTACATATAGTGTTTATCAAAGAAGCAGCATTTTATTATATACAAAATCAATTTTTTACATTTAAAGAACAATCTTGACATTTTCTCTAGGCTAATAACAGAACTCTGCAAGAGAAGATTTTACAAGTGAACAATTTGGTGGAAGCCTTTGGCAATGCCTCCACTATTATAAATGACAATTCCAGCCGATTTGGAAAATACTTAGAAATGAAATTTACCTCTTCTGGAGCTGTAGTGGGAGCACAGATTTCTGAATACCTTCTGGAGAAATCCCGAGTTATCCACCAACCTCTGTAAGTCCGTGTCAAATATTTTCTTTTTTTCTGGGAAACAAGCAAAAATAATGCTTTTGTTTTAATGCTAAAATGTCTTACATATTAATCAAACTCAACAAAATGTTATTGATCATCTACTACGTGAAAGGCACTTGTTAGAATTGAAAAGGTCCCTCAGCACTGTCTTACTCTCACATGTGTTATATCTAGTAGAGGAGTTAATAAATCACCTAAAATTTATGATACCAGATATAAAACGTATGCCCATCATAGATACTAACAGGTAAAATTGGAATGATTTCTGAAGTAGGGGAGCATATATTTCTTTACACAAAACTAAAGTGAAATTTAATTAGACATCAGTCTTTTTTTCTTTTAAATGTTTACATACATAAATAGATCTCTGTATGAATTCTATCCTTCCTATGGTTATACACATGGGACCAAATAAAAGATTCAGGTATGGCCTTAATTGTATTGCCCTTTTAATTTACAGCTGATTTAATGCTGTAAATTCCATGCTTTGGTGTTAAGTTAAAGGAGTTCCTTTCAGCAGTTTATAGCTGAATGGCAATATTTCTCTCCTGTCCTAATGCTTGCAGAACATCTTTGTTTGTTATTCTTATGTGGAAACTAGAGTCGAAACATTAGATTTGTACCCCTGTATTTATATTCCTTTTAAAAAGTGTGGCAAGTTAGTCTTTCCTTTTTCTTCTGTAGGTTTTACACCTAACATACCTACATTACTATAGTAGTAGGTCATTTGTTAAATTCCTGGGAACACAAGCTCTTGTTATGTATTAGTACATTATTATTTAACATAAATGCTTTCAAAGTTGCTATCATTCAATTTGTGAGTCAGTTGTGAATATAAGTTGCCTGGGGTTCACCTCCTGAACTCAGCTTTCAATGTGGAAAATTATCCTTTGGTCCGTGCTCAATTCAAAATACATAAGAAATGATTATAAGACGAGTGTTTTGAATTGTGGCTTCACTACATGTTAGTTCACTTTGGGTAAGATATTTAAACCCTAAAAACCCTTCTAGAACCTTGGTTCTATGTGTGATTTGAAAAACTTAACCTCTCTGCACCTCAGTTTTTCATCTTTAAAATGGAAATAGCAGTAGTACCTACCTATCAGTTAAGATAATGCCTGTAAAGCATTTAACACAATGAATAACACATAGTAAGAACCCATAAGTTTAAGCCATTATTAGCAGTAATGGTGTGGATAGTTGTGCAAAAACTTAGAAACAACACCTAGCACAGTACAGTAGATGGCAGCTACTATTATCGATGTGTGCCAGGTCCCCAAGGCTTAGTGAATACGCATGTCTGTGCCTCTGTCACCCATGCCTAGAGGAACCTTGGGGTCTTATACAGATGTGCAGACTTAACTGGTTCTCAAAACAATCTGTCCTGTTCTCAGAACTGTGTAAGACTCTCCTTCAGGCCTTGGGGAAGAACTACCTAAGGGCGTGAATTACTGAGATTTGGGTGGGACCACCATGGTACACAATGTCAGGGGGTAACATACACCGGGGTTCTATGGAACTATGTGTCTTGTGAACAGTAACTTCTGGACCTACACAATGAGGGCCCTGTGTTTATAATAATAGAAATAACCTTGTTAATGTTTATTGATATATTATAGGATATATTCTAGGAAATTGCACAATTAAGATCATATTTTAGACAGGCTATGAGTTAATTAAGCTTTTTTTCCAACTATCCAAAAGAACTATTCTAGTTTTACAATGTTGTTGATTGAGGAAAAGCACTCTTAGGGCACCTGCGTGGCTCAGTCGGTTGTTAAGCATCCTCTTGATTTTGGTCCAGGTCATGATCTCACCATTTGTGAGATCGAGCCCCCCTTAGGGCTCTACACTAACAGTACAGAGTCTGCTTAGGATTCTCTCTCTCCCTCTCTCTTTGCCCTTCTCCTGCTCGCTCACACACATGTGCGTGTGCTGTCTCTCAAAGTAAATAAACATTTTTTTTTAAAAGGCACTCTTAAGTTCCCAACTTACAATTAGGTTGAAATCCAACTCAGTTTATAATTTGAATATAGCTGCCTTGTAATTTTTCCATTTTTCTATTTTTTTACACCTATATTTTTCTTTTACTTAGTTTCAGTTGCATTTTTAAATTCTAGAGAAGCTTTTCGTGATCTTTGGAAATGAAGTGTCAAACAGACAAGTGAAGAATTCTTTCAGTCAGAGAACGAGGCAAAGTGAAGAATGAGTCTAGGTGACAGAGAAGAAGCAGAGCAGGCATCTATGTCTTTTAAATGAACTTACCCTTTCTTTTAAGGAAATAAGTTCTTTTCTCTTTTTGCCTCTGCCCATGTCATTCCACCCTAATCTCTCACCACATTTGTTTTTATATATATTTGTATTTATCTATATATGTTTGTATATTTTAAATATTTATAAATAATAAGTATAAATAATTTATGAATATATTCACAAATACATGTTTATATGTGTGTTATATATGTTTATATATTTTTAATTTATTTTTTAATATATTTATTATTTATTTTTGAAAGAGAGGGAGAGAGAGACCCCCAAGTAGGCTTCACGCCGACAGCTCAGAACCTGACGAGGGACTCAAACTCATGAACTGTGAGATCATGACCTGAGTTGAAATCAGATGTCACTTAATCAACTGAGCCACCCAGTCGCCCCTATTTTTTTTAATTCTTTTTTAAAAAAAATTTTTTTTTTCAACATTTATTTATTTTTCAGACAGAGAGAGACAGAGCATGAACGGGGGAGGGGCAGAGAGAGAGGGAGACACAGAATCGGAAACAGGCTCCAGGCTCTGAGCCATCAGCCCAGAGCCTGACGCGGGGCTCGAACTCACGGACCGCAAGATCGTGACCTGGCTGAAGTCGGACGCTCAACCGACTGCGCCACCCAGGCGCCCCTTAATTCTTTTTTTTAAATGTTTATTTATTTGAGAAAGAGAGAGAGAGAGCGAGCACAAGTTGGGGAGGGGCAGAGAAAGAGAGACGGAAACAGAGAATCTGAAGCAGGTCCAGGCTCTGAGCTGTCAGCACAGACCCCAACATGGGGCTCAAACCCTGAACTGTGAGATCATGACCTGAGCTGAAGTTGGATGCTTAACCGACTGAGCCACCCAGGCGCCCCTATTTTTTTTTCTTTTTCTAATGATGGAAGTGTCATGTCATTTGTGGCTTAAATCTTCATCTAAATGTGGATAATTTTAAAGAAGAAATTCTTAAAGGGGGTTACTTAATTTCGAGAAGAAAATGAGTATATTGAAATCAATGCTAGATAATTCTCACAAATATAAATTATCGCTGTTTCACTGCACTTTCCTTCTATTACTACAGTTTCATGCAGGAAGCATTGATTATGTTTCACTCACATGCCTAGCACTTTACCAGATGCTGCAGGAGGCATCCATACAGTGGGAGATGTGGTGTTCTTTACAGAGGAAGGAAAATATTATTCATGGAACACTTACTGTGTGTCCGGCACTGTGCTAATAAGCACTTTATATCCATTATCTATTTTAATTCTTACAGTGATAGGACAGGATATTCTTGCTATTTTGCATGTAAGACTGGGACTGAGAATTGTAATAAGTCACCTAATGCCAAAAAGCTAATAAATGACTGAGTTGGGGTTTGAACCCCTGTCTCTGTCTGACTCCAAAGTCCATAATTCATTCATTGATCCTTTTGGCAAATATTTATCAAGTACCTACTCTGTGCCAGGAACTGTACTAGGCACAGGAGATATAAAGCTGAATGACATAGGATTGCTCCAATAAAGCAGCTCAGTCTTCTGGATAATGTATGCTTTGAAACAAAACTTGCTGCTCACTTGTTGGTTTCTAGTCTCAGGAAAGTAGGCAATGAGTTTATCTGCCAAGTGTAACCAGATAGGGATAAAGGGAGAGGGACTGAGGAGACTATACGTCTTAGAGGAAGGAATCTTGGTGGAGAAAGCAGGAATTAAAAATGAAAAATTAAAAACACTTTTTCATGACTATCCTAAGAGGCCTTATGAATGCAAAGCTGCATTGTTGCCTTTGCAAGCCTTATTGCTGGCCGCTTTGTCGAAAATTGAAAGTTTCACAAGTGGGGTAAGCCATACACTTGTGAGAACTTTGCCACATTTTTCAGGGTGTTAGAGGTCTTGGCTGCATAAGTGATCCCCAGGGTCCAGACCAGATGGACACATATGAGACAGCCCTGAGGACCTTCCCACGAATGACTGAGTGGAACTCTGAAGAAGTATTAGAAGATCCACAGTCAGGGGTGGGGTCAGAGTCAGAGAAATACTATTCAGTAACTTGCTGAGACCCTACATCTGTCCCCAGCCATTCTGACCTGGGAACCACTGGTCATATGGGCACGTATGGGATGCTATGGTCCTCTGTCTTCTTAAATACAGTTTTGATGTGGTTAAGGGCAAGGTAGGAGATGAGTAATTTTTGGCAGTATTTTCTTTTCCTGTTTCTTTAACTCTCTGATTGTTTATCCAACCAAAGGTCAGTGTATTTCCTATAGCATCTCCAGGTCCTGTCAAATTACAATTCTCAGTAAACGTAAACTGATAATTAAAGAGAAAACCACCAATTGTGTGCATCTACATTTATGACTCACCTCTCTAATTGTACACTGCATTGTTTAAGTGTTGAAGGTGTGACACATAGAGCAATCGATGTGATTTCATTAGAACAAAGTGAACTAAAATATGTGCTGTGCCACTCTTAGAGAACTTGTATTATGTTGTGGTGAGAAAAGACAAGATGTAAACTTTTAGCTTTGTTCTAACCTTACTCATGTACGATGCTAGTGTTTGTTGAAGCATTACTGGTGACTGCTCAAGACATGGTGGGGAACTCCCGTTCTAAAGGACATGCTGGTCCTTGCTTCACTGTCCAAGCCCATGGACCACCCTTTACTTGAAAAGCTCACCTGTCTTTTTTTCCCCAGCTGGATTCTCTGGATTCCTCTCCTACTTCCCTGAATGTTTTT